TAATTAACACTATGAATATGGAAATAAATACAAGAGAAATCAACCCAGAAAGAGAACTATTAAGATGAACAAGTCAATAGATCCTGGCATATTAACACATTAAATGGGTAAATATTTCAGACACAGTAATCTTTGGACTTGGAAACAATATGTAAAGAGGTATGTTGTTCATTTCTGAACAACATAAACAAAAATGTTTTTTCTAATTATGGTTACTAAGGAAGGAAATTAAGCAAATATAATCTCACGAATGCTAGGGATGAAATACAGAGATTAATCACGCAGAGTGGTTCATTTCCAACAACTACACCCATGGGTCCATCAGAAAGGGGGCACCCAGAAAAGCATCCCCACAAATGCTACTCTTTCCCATCTGTGTGGGAAGTCTGTTATTGAAATCCAGCTTACATCTGGATGCCCCCAACAAACCCATTTATCTCCATTAAAAAACAACAGCAGCTTCTCAAAAGTACACCAACTGCCCTGCCAGACCTCACCATCTTAAACCTACACTACCCAGGCAATGCCTTAATGTAGTTTCCAGAGCTATAGACAAAACAGGAAGCAATCCTGTCCATTGATACAGAGTACATCTCTACAAACTATAAACATGAATGGCTGAGAAAGTCCATGCTTCAGCCTGGATGAAATGTAAATGTAAGTAATTTTGAAAAGCCAAGGTCTCTAACTCACTCTGCTCCAAATGGCTGTTGAGGCAGGAAAGCAGCAAGTGGGCAAAGACCAACTGTCAAGAACTTATGGCACTGTTGCTCCAGCAATCATGTGACCTCAGAGGTCATGTGACACCTTCTCTCATTATGTCCTCAGCAGTATGTCAATAGTTATTTAAATATCTCTCACACTCTTAAGCCCAACTTAAGGCTGCTTGCAAGAGTGAAATAAAAGTCTTGTCCTGTGGATCATAAATACTTCTGCATGGGCTGCTGTTGGGCTGTTTTGTGTTTGTTTTTCTTATAAGCTCATAAATGATAAGTAGTACTGTATCTTCAAATGAGCATCCATTAACTATCTTAGTTAATGACGTGGAACTATTTACCTATTCCTTTTTAGCTCGTGAGTCAAGAATGGAATATTATACGATGTTGGAGAACTAATTGCCATTCAAAGCACTATTTATGTCACAGAACCCTGGTCCAAATTCAGAAAATGTTAGCACTAAAATAAATCTTCCTTTTTTTTTTGTCCTGACTTAGGGCACAACCCTAACTAGCCAGGCTGGCCTTAGGCTGGCTGAACCAAGACTCTCACAATTAAGAGAGAGATGCCTGTTAAAGGTACAGTGCTATTTCTCCCAAATGCAAGTCCTTTCTGCAGCTGCCATGAAGCCCATTGCAATATCAGTTTGCTCTGAAAAAAGGCAGATTTTGAGTGTGGGTGGGCGTGTCGCGCTTGTGCACCTGCACACAAGTGTGACACTCCACTCCACAAGCATGCCCCTGCCCCCCAAATGGTCCGCGGTCCCAAAAAGGTTGGGGACCTGCTGTTCTACGGGATTCTTGTCCACAGTATTAGATATGATAATTGTTTGAATTGAATTTGCCCATTCCTGTCCATTTTAGTTTACTGATACCCAGGATGTCACTGTTGATTCTTGCCATCTCCTGTTTGACCACATCCAGCTTCCCAAGGTTTATAGATCTTACATTCCAGATTCCTATGCAGTATTTTTCTTTGCAGCATCGGACTTTCCTTTCACTTCCAGGCACATCTGCAGCTAAGCATCCTTTCGGCTTTGGCCCAACCACTTCATTAGCGCTGGAGCTACTTGTCCTTGTCCTCAGCTCTTCCTCAGTAGCATGTTGGATGCCTTCCGACCTAAGGGGCTCGTCTTTCAGCATCATATATTTTAGCCTTTTGTTTCTGTCCATGGAGTTTTGTTGGCAAAGATACTGGAGTGGCTTGCCAGTTCCTGTTCCAGATGGATTCTGTTTAGTCAGAACTCTCCACTATGACCTGTCTGTCTTGGGTGTCCCTACACTGCATAGGTCATAACTTCTCTGAATTACTCAAGCCCCTTTGCCGTGACAAGGCAGCAATTCGTGAAGGAGATTACAAAAATTATTTCTACTCAATATTCAAGAGAGCTTCTTTCTTTTTCAGTTCTAACTTTCCCTTCCATGACCCCAATGTAGCAGGAGTGGCAAGAGGAGGATATGGAGAAAGGGGGAGAGAAAATGTGGCTTTGGCCCTTATCCATTGCTGGCACATGATCTCTGGGGGAATCAACAGAGTGGCTCAAATTCTTTTACCTAGTTGTGCTGGCATAACAAAACATGTAACTTTTGGAGGCAGATTTTCCCCGGTTAAGTCACGGTGGACATTATCAGTTGCGTACTAAATTGCATGAATCAATTTTGTTTTAACTACTGTACAGGCAGTTTGCCTCAAAAAGTTACACATTTGTATAGGTGTGCAAGAGAGTTTTGGCCAGTTAGAGACTAGGAAGAGAGAGCAAAGGGAACAAAGAGAAGGAAGAGGTAACAAAACCTGCTTTGGTCCTGCCCATTTTGGCCCCACCTACCACTGGCATGGAGCCCCTTCCTCCATTTACAGATTTTATACACACACACACACACACACATTTATGATAGCTGCCAACTATGTTCTCTCAACGTTTCATAGAAATAAGGTGTTTTGAAATGGGAGTAAAAGCAGTCTGTGTTTCACACAATTTCTGACAAAGTGGACATAATTATACAGTACTTGTGTATTGATATAGTTTTAATTGGACATCCTGTGGCAAGTTGACAGAGCACTGCTGAATAGGAAATAGTGGCAACTGCATAGTGACAACTGGGAGGACAAACTCTAATGTTTATGGTTGACTTCATAAGGAGATGAGAGGCTGATAACACTTTGGGCTGCAGGCCAGATTTGTCAGCTGCAGCCTTTATGGCATTCTAGCAATATGAGGGCAAAATGAGCTGCTGCCAGGCTGTGGAGTGTGCAATAATGATGCTTGGATTAAAACTACGTATTGCTCATAAATGAAATATTAAATGTGCTTGGGTGAGCATATTTTTAAGCTGGGAAGTATTTATATGATTATTATACAAATGGTTTTATTTCAGCCTTAATGTCTTGGGGAGTAAGGGGAATAGCTGGTCAAATAATATGGATTAGCAGTGTTATCTACAGCTTTAATCACATGGACACATTTATGTGTGTATGTGTAGTGACACGGCTGAAAGTGATGCAACACTGAAAATTTATGTGATGATGATGGGTACAGATTTAATTCATCCATGTGACCTTTTAGTCATGGGTAAAACCACATCTTTAATTTTTTTTCTGTCTTCAAACACAACCTGTTATCTGCAAATCAAGCAAAATGAAGCAGATTGTTTATGGTAACTGTCAGTGATCGCTTAAATTCCCAAATCCCTTGTCATCCTTTCCATTGGCTTTTGGAAATCCTGTTATATGCTTATATTTGCAGGTGAAATGACATGCCCAAGAGAAAGGAAAAACCTAAGTATTTCACAGAAAATTTGCAAACCCTCATTTTATCCTTTTCGTTGCTACTTCCTTCTGTAGAAACATAGTGAGACTTAATAAAATTATGTGGTCTCAGACGTTAGTGCAAAGTTCTCAATACAAGGAGTAATTCAGAAGCCCTATTAGCATTTTCCTAAGACTTTAGGGAATAATTTTGTTTCTGAAACCATTGAATGGAAGGACATTTGTGTTAGTGACTCCCCCTTCTGCATAGTTACTTTTCATGCAGCTGGTCATACACTGGTTGAGAAAGCAGGTGCATGACTAATGGTAGGGGGCACTGCTTGAACAATTGGTCTTGTATGTGTGATAATATTCAACAGAATTTCAGGCTTAATATTTATGCTAAACATTTAGGGTACCTGGTTTGTAAATGCAAATGTTTTATGAGGACATACAGGTTCCGTAAGAAAGTTGTTACAGTGCTCCAAACAGCCATGGTTTCTTTCAAGATGCTCCTAGGAGACACAATGATGAGCAGCATGTGTAAAAATAATTGATTTTGTAAAAAATCAAATTGATTTTTAAAAAATCAATCATGATTCAAATTAAAAAAACTTATTTAAATTGTAAATTTTTAGTTTTTTTAAATTCGATTTTTAAAATTTAAATCAATTTTATTTAAATTAAATCCATGGAATAACTGATATCAAAGACTGCCTTGATGATGGTGATGATGGTATACCATCTGTGGTGCTTCTCAAAGAATAAGTCTTAACAGGCCCTTTCTTCAGTAGGTTATAATCTGAAATTGGATGGAAGGGAACCAACAGTGGAAGAGAGGAAAATGGAAGCAGAAGCAATCAGGGCAATAATATGTGATTACTCTATCCCACTCAGGCCCATTGTAAGTGCCATCGGCACCCCAACGTATGAATTAGCCAAATACTTAGCCACCCTCCTACAGACCCACATTGGACAAACCTCAACCTACATCAAAGACTCAGGACATTTCATAAGCAAGATCAGCACCCTAAAACTCAACTCTGGGGACAGACTGATCAGCTTTGACGTAGTATCCTTATTCACTAGAGTACCGATGAAGGACACTCTGACGTCCAGCATATCTTTCCAGAAGACATCAAGGCCATTTTCCAACACTGCCTAACAACCAGCTATTTTCAGTGGGATAATGAATTCTATGAACATACAGATGGAGTGACCATGGGGAGCCCCCTCAGCCCGGTTATAGCAAACCTCTACATGGATCATTTTGAAAAACAGGTCCTGGCTTCAGCACCCTTCGCACCCACAGTCTGGTTCCGATATGTGGACGACACCTTTGCAAATTGGAGTCACGGTGAAGAAAAATTGGAAGAATTTCTAAACCATCTCAACAGCATCTACTCAAATATACAATTCACCATGGAAAAAGAAATAGAGGGCCAACTCCCTTTCTTAGATGTTATGGTCATACGCAAAACGTACCTCCTATTGGGACACAAGGTTTACAGAAAACCCACCCACACAGACCGGTACCTACACAAAAACTCCAACCACCGGCCACAGCAAAAAAGAGGCATAATCAAAACACTGGTAGACCGTGCAAATCGGAACTGTGACGCTCAATTTCTCAGCACTGAACTCAACCATCTGAATTGGGCCCTACAGGCAAATGGCTACTCCAAAAATGAAATCACAAGAGCCATCAAACCAAGAAAACAACACCAAACTGAAGAAAACAACCACCCACAAATAAAGTATTTCTGCCATACATCAAAGGGGTCACGGACCACATGGGGAAACTTTTGAAAAAACACAACCTACAAACAGTATTCAAACCCACCACAAAAATACAACAAATGTTACAGTCAGCAAAGGACAAAAGGGACCCCCTCACCACTGCAGGAGTATACTGGATAGCTTGCAGTTGTGGCCAGGTATATATTGGAATCACAAAATGCAGCATCCACACCAGAATCAAAGAACATGAGAGACACTGCAGACTAAAACAACCGGAAAAATCGGCAGTAGCTGACATGCCGTGGAACAAGCTAGACATGAAATTCTATTTCAAAATACTGAAATACTGGACAACACCAGCAGTCATTACATTAGACTGCACAGGGAAGCCATTGAAATCCACAAACACCAACAGAGCTTCAACAAAAAAGAAGAAAGTTTAAAACTCAAGAAAGCTTGGCTCCCAGCACTGAAAAATACAATGTGTAAAAGGTCAACGAAGTCTA